ACAGCCCGGAACCGTACACCTTTGATTAATTATGCAATAAATAAATAACGGTAGTAAAACTCTAACAATAACAACAATATTTAAGACTTAGTAAGCAGAACAAATAGGGACTTGTTCATTTAAACCTAGTTGAGGCAAAGTCTTTTAGTGCTGAAAATGATTTTGTATCACATACTAGTTTATGGAGATTCGGCGGCCATTCTGCTGAGTTGATGGTCTTTCGCAAACGTTCTCTTTCTGCATTGAATTTGGTGCAGCTGAAGAGTTTATGTTCCGCGTCTTCTTCAGTGCTACAAACGGAGCATAAAGGGCTGTCTCTTTTCTTAAATTTATGGAGATAGCTTGCCAAGTTTTCACATCCTGACAGCATTTGGGTGGTCCAGTAGTCGGGGTGTAGCCATTTTGCTTTTTGTCTCCTTTCAACGCTGAGGAAAAAGTTGAATGTCAGCCGACCCTTATTGCTGTTTGTCCATCTTTTTTGCCATGATGCCCTTGTCATCTTTCCCAAGTACTCTTTCGCCCCCTTTCCAGTTGCAATTCGGAACCAGTTTATTTCTCCTTGGCTTGTCATATCAATATCAATAGTCTCATTTTACTTTTTTAGGTGGATGACTATCCTTTCTTTAAGGAAAAGAAAAACCCAGTACGCTTAAAAATAACATACTTTTACTAACAAAAATCTTTATACACAAGGCGCAAAGAAGCAAAAGCAAATACAAAACTAACAAAGACAATCACCTGACCTTGTGAACCTGACAAATACCCAATTCAACAAATATGAAACAGGTTTACTACAAAAAGGACTCAAACACTACATGAAATTAACAACACAAAATAAAACCTCATCCAAACAATAATAGAGTAGAGACTGCAAGAAACCTTTTTTTCACCAAACAACAAGAACGCCCAAACCACCTAGCTGCCAACGGAAAAATCACAAACACACACATAATGATACAAAACATAATAAAAAGAAAGTGGGAGCGTCGGTTCGGCAGAAGAGCTCTCGCGAATAAAGAGCAATGTTGTTAGGTGGCCGGTCATCCTCACCCGACTTTTATGGCAAATCCCGAGTATGTTTTTCTGTTCCGATTCTTGTGGAAACAAGGTTGTTATATTGTATATAGTAATGATAGTTTTACGTTCCTAGGTGCGTTGAGTGTGAATGTATTTATTGGCGTGAATATGTAGTGTGAGACAGCTCATGGCGGAATATTATCCCAATCGACCTTTAACTAGGTTAGATATTGAGTGTAAAGTGTGATCAAAATATTTCTAGTACTCTGCCACCTAACTACGTGATGATCGGTAATGACCAAATAAATAAGTAATTGCCAGGGTCCGATCGGGGGACATGGAAATGTAACTATTGTATATTTATATATATAATGTTCCAACTGGTTTACACATTGTAAAGGTGAAAATTCCTGTCAATTCGAATCTGCCCTTTTGTGTCATCGATTAACACCCGGTTCAATGTGTTATGCGTTGCGGCTTCGATGCGGTTTATTTATTTATTCAATGAGCTTAGTAGATTCAAAGGAAAATCCATCCGCCGTGGTTAGGCAAAATAGAAGGGTAATATATTAATTTCCAAAGCTTTCGCATTGAATCGCCTTTTTGGGGATTGTCACCGATTCGGAAATTTTTAATTAATTTGACCTCTAGCATTGATCCGTTTTAACAGGCATAGCGACGTGAAACCTACGAAAATCCTGTTTTGATAAAGGGTTTACCACGGTGTGTGACTTTAAAGTAAACTTAAGTTTACCGAAACTACACAAACCACCTCCCTACATACTGCCCCTGGACGTTACCGAGTCAACCTTTCTACATTCTATGCTAAAAGTAATGACTATTCTCTCGAAGCCTTGTCTGTTTTAGGGCTCACCTTTACATTAAGAACCGTTTTGAGTTGATTACCTATCAAATGACGGTACCGTCCTTTAGGCCTTGAATGCAAGAGAGAGTGGTTAACTCTCTTAAGCACAACCTGTATTCGTGTGTTGGCTTTTGTATCAGCAGGACGGCGGGTCTCGATCAGTAGCACAAATGGGTTAAGGTACCAGATCCTGTCTGAAAAGACGGGGGAGGGTGCATATCCAACTGAACTACGGGGCAGAGTTTTTCTACACACAGGGACTCCTTCCTTGCCAGGTGCCCTGTGCCCAGGCAAAGTCTGACCATCAACTCTGTTGCCTGGGGGTAATCAATGATGGAGGCAAAATTCCCTATTACCTTCCTTACCCCTTTCCTTTTCACTCCCCCTCCCCCATTTGCTTTGGCAGAGGTATCCTGGGTTACAGAACCCGCACCCCTCAAGCAACGGGTGCATCACTAGGGGGTTCGTATGAATTCCCGGGTGAGCGATCAGTCCCACTTAAAAATAATACTGCACCTCGAGAGAAGAGTATCCAAGCAGCTCTACTAATTGAGGTTGGACTCGTGGTAGTCGTGGTTTGTAAACAAATTGTACCTTAGCTGGAGGATGCGGGCCAACCGGAGCCAGAGATAGAGTGCCTTCTCTATCTCTCTGGGGGTGGTGAAAGGCACGGATGAAAAGTCGTGCCGGAAACCACAAAACTGCCGTTTTCAAGGCTCATATATGGATGTGCTCTTTTCAGGGCACTTCTGAATTTGGTTAGCATTGCACCACCTCGCTAGTCAAGGGATGTGACAAGTCCATGCATGCAAAATCTTCCTGGTGTTCTCTTTGAGAACACTAAGCGTCCGAGAAGTCCCTCGGGGATAAGTCCGGACGTTAAAGATCCTCATGGTTCTCAACACCCATGAGTAAAGATGGGGCAAAGTTTCAAGTTCCAAGCCCGGTAGCGCACTACATGAGATTGGAATCATACTGGTCTGATGGTGAGACCACTGTCGGGTACTTAGAGTATAGCCTGTTGTTCGGGCGTGCCTTTATAGGCTTCCTTTACCGATGGCAGTGTAACCACCCTCTAGGGGGTTTAGAAATTCCACTATAAACAAAACCGACGCTGGTGGGGCCTCCAATACTCTGAGAGTATAGTTACCTTCTCTATCTAGATAGTATAGCAGGTTAGTCAAGTGATGCATTTCAGTACGGTTCATAGATGACGGCCCACCCAGTTGGAAAAGGAGCAAGTGGGAGAAGTAAGAATAAGACCTTAGTCTGTGGATAAGTGACTTCTACACCAAACCTCAGAGGATTAACACTGACCACATATGAACGGAAGTGTGTCGCTCCTATCTTGAAAACGTATGATCAGGCCATGTGCCAGGTGCGAACGTTAAAGAACCTCGTTGTCAAATCAGTTAACTCAGTCGACAATTTTGCTCTGGAAAGGATGAAATTGAACCGATTTTCTTAAATTTTAATCTAAAGAGGGTTAAAGAATTAGTAACACTCTATAAAGGTAAACAACACTTTATTACTATTATTAACTAGAAATTACGGAAAAAGAAGAATTTAAAAAAAATAGTGTGCACATAACTGATATGCCAGAAAAGTCACAAAATGAAACTTTTCACTTTTTTAGCATATTTTTCCAGTTCAATTGGTAAACTTTAATCGAGGAAATTGGTCCTACACCGATCTAGGTCGTAATGTTTTTACCTCGGAGTCGTTCGACGGTGCGTTGGGCGGCATCATTCTGCGACCACAACTCGGACGCCTTCGCGACATCAGCGTCTTCAGAATTCGTCGAGTGGTTCGTGTTAGTCCGGTTTATAACAAGATATTTACCGCAGGAATATCAGATATGGGATTTTTATCCTAAAATAAGGTTCATAATTCCTAAGATAAGAGGTTCATACCGATGCGATAAGACACGAGCCAGCCAGCCAATGTCCTCATTCTTTGAATTTGAAATCTTCACCTTTCGCAATATCGTAGGACATTGATGGAAAAGACAAGCAAGCGATGTCTCTTGATACACATATCTTACGAAACATGTCGCAATCGTGCAGGTGTGAATCAATTTTGTCGTTCTTTCACGTTTTTTATAGGACTGAACGTTGCGCAAGAGATAGTTATCGTATATTACTTCTAAATATGAGTATTTTATCACTCCGGTGTGATTCCGGCCTTAGATATCCGAAATTATCATCGTATATCTACGATTTATTATCAGATAAATCGGTTACCGTCTCATTTGTGTCTGCTGTAGACGACTGAGGAGTCACATTCGTTATAAATTGAAAAACTTTATATATATATGTACAAATTTATTAAGTTAGGGATAAGACAGTTCGTATTTTCCAATAATTCCAATAATTTAGAAACCACAGTATTTGGTTGGTGCAAAATTAATGCGGGTTTTGAAAATTTGTTTTATTTTCGCAGTTGTTTGTCACATAAACAAAGCTGAATCCTCAAGTCTCATTTAAGGGTTATGATAAATACTTTTAACTATTATCTTTTAGACAAAACAGTTTAGTTTATTTCAATTAATTAATCTTTTTATGCAAGGTCTTGGTTGAAATGAAAAAGCTGTACGTTGAAATGGGAAGTTGGTGTCCGAGTGGATCGAAGTCACGATAGCTCAAGTGGTAGTGCAGCGGCGTGTTGAGACGAAGGTCGTGGGTTCGAAACCCGCTCGTCACACTAGCTTTTTCATTAAAAGAAGTAATTTGATCATTCGGACCACTAATATATAATATAATGAGTTTAGTTTATATTGAATTTTATAAGAGTGGGGACCTGCAAAATTAATTGCAGCCCAAACAACGCGTAACATCAACACAGTTTGGGGGGATGGAAGCATTAACAAATGCACGGTGCAGCGATGGTTTTAGAGATGTCGACAGGGGAGTTCGTGGGTTCGAATCCCGCTCGTGACACTGACTTTTTCATTTCAACCAATACATTACATAAAAAGAATAATTAGTTGTTATTTTTTCTTTTCTCTTTGCTGACTTGTCCAAATCGTTTTTCTGTTCTAAAACTATAAGTACGGGGGAGTAATAGACTAGAAACACAATTAGGAGTGTGTTCTAGGTATGTTTTGTCTGGCTTACTCACCACAAAAAGAAAGGCAGCCAGCAGGCGAGGAAGGCGGACATGATAATCCCCAAAGTTCTTGCCGCTTTCCTCTCTCGTTTCATTTTGCTCGTAGTCGCCAAAGGCCGGAGAGGCTCGCTCCCGCCCACGTCCATCCCGGCGGCGATCCCGTTTATTTGCAGGTGCTTGTTGAGCAAAGCCGTCGCTACTTTGCTCCTGGAAAAAAAAAGAAAACATGTAAACACAATCGAAGTTAAAAAGAAGGATTATAATAAATTGTATGGTTAATTTAATGCTTTTTCATTGATTTTGTATTTGGCAGTCAGATAGTATGAATATCTATCTAATAAGGGTGATAACTATAAGGGGGAACCGATGAACCTTCCAATATCCAACGTGTCGAATCCTTTCGGTCAATAGTCTTCAGACCAATTATAAATTATTATGTCTAATACTACCCTTTTACAACGACCTTTAAATTTTTATTTAAACATTAATTTCTCCAAAAGTACCAGGTTTAGTAATAACTTCTGTCATCACCCATGCGCTGTCTAACAGAATCCCACCCCTACAATCCCATAAAACGTCTCTAGACAATCTTTACCACCTTTATGAGCAGTAGGTAATGAGGTTTGTTTAGTAAAGTGATGAAGGAAAATAATGATTATATGCTTCTCTTAATGTAATTATGTAAATACACTGACAGGCAATAAAATGCCACCCAATAGATTTTTTTTTTTTTCATTTTGTCCATAAAAGAAAATTCTTCCCTTAATCTGTCTCATTGCTTTTACCAATAAATATATGTTTATGCTACGTTTTAAATTGGGAATATCAATTAGAGGTGAACCCTCTTAATCCTTAATCCAAAACAAGGATAAAGGATTTTTCAATGATTACTTTTTACGGAATTTAAAATGTTTATTCAGTCTCATTTGAATTCTGAATCAATAAACTGTTTAGTTTTCATCTTTGTTTTCTTAATTTCAATTTTTAAACTTAAAAGTGCACACTTAGTGCTGAGGATGTCGCGCGTGATGTGCCACTTGATGATGATGGACGTTCCATTGGCTATTGCCATCGGGGTTCCCTACGAAACTCTGCGAGAAGCCGTTAGACGTTTTCCTGAAACTGAGGCCTACGATAGAAGGCCCGGTTCTGGATGCTTTAGGGTAAAAGAACCCCAGGATGACAGGTTTTTGACTTTGAGTATCTTGCGAAACCGGAATCTTACTGTGTTCGAGCGATTCATGAGCTCCAGGAAGTTCGAGGAGTCCAAATTTCTGAACGCACTGCTCGAAGAAGATTAAACCAGTACTGATTTCTTTTCGCCCCGTAAGAGGACCAGAATTGACCATAACACCCAGTGCACGGCTCGTATTTGCTCGAGAACACAGGAACACAGCCTTTGGATTGGTCTGCTGTACTTTTTACAGATGAGTGTAGATTTGGTGTACGATGAGTGTGGAGAAGGCGAAATGAAAAATGAAGGTACGAAGCCTGTAATTTTTCCCAGAGCCAAATTTTCAACACTCAGTGATGGTGCGGGCGGGAATCTAAATGGAGAGTCGCACAGAATTGGTTGGTGTTCGTGGAGGGTATTCGACGGCCACTCGCTATGTGAATGAAATTTTGGAACATCATGCGTTGCCTATCCTCGTGGGAATAAGCTACAATTCTTTTCTAATGAACGGTAATGTCTGTCCACATATCGCTCGCATAGTACAAACGTACCTTTAACAGCATAACATCAGGGTCTTAGCCTGGCCAGCCCGTTCTCCAGACTCAAACCCCATCGAACATGTATGGGATAACCTCAGAAGACGAATAAGAGCACGTCCATCACATCCTTGATGCACTCCAAGATCTTGAAAGTTCTCTTCGTGAAGAATGAGCTAACCTACAGCAAAGACACATTTCCAGACTGGTAGAAAGTATGCCGAAGGATCTTCGAGATGTAATTAAGACAAGAGGAGGAAATACGAAATATTGAAATGTTAATTAAAATTCTAAAACAAAATTAAAACAAAATTTTATCTGTCCGTCTTTTTTCCTTAGCAATTTACATTTTTCTTTTTTAGAGAAAGATTCAATTATTAAAAAACGTGAAATTTTGATTAACATAATACATAAAATGTACACAAATTAAGTTGTATTACATGTGGGTGGAATTTTTTGCCTCTCAATGTATATCGTATCGTCAAATTACGTATTATAACAAGAAATTGCGTATTGTAATAAAATATTGAAATTAAATTTATTAGGTTTTGTGGTCTGCTGGGCCAAATAAATTCTTTTCAATTAATTAATTTTTAATTAAGGTTTTTGTTGAGATAAAGTCACGATAGCTCAAGAGTTAGAGCAGCGGCGTATTTAGCCGAAAGTCGTGGGTTCGAATCCCGCTTGTGACACTGACTTTTTTATCTCAACTAAAAATCTTAATTAATCGAAAGATATTAATTGGTCAAGCGGACCACGAAAACTAGTGAATTTAATAAGTTAAAATGAAGTATACCTTCTCTAAAGCTCTCCGTTGCCATTTAATTTGTCGCCGAGAATCAAATAGATTACACGACATTTGAAAAATGGCAAAAAGGAGGGAAAATTCAAAATATGGGGTTGAGATGGGAAGTTAGTGTCCGAGTGGATCGAAGTCACGATAGCTCTAGTAGTAGAGCAGCGGCGTATCTAGCCGCAGATCGTGGGTTCGAATCCCGCTTGTGACCTTAACTTTTTTAACTCAACCAAAACCTTAATTAAAAATTAATTAATTGAAATTGAAATTAAAAATTTTTTCTTCACGTTTTCTTTTCTTTCCAGATTCGCATTTATGGACATTCCCAATTATTTAACTGTATCACTGTATTAATGGTCAGAGACGGAATATGATTCAATTTTTTATTTGTAAAATTTCTCTTTAAAAATCCAAATTATCCAGTTTTTATTAGTTTATTTCGTTTTACACGCCTTTTGGAGGATTTTCGAGAATATTTGATACTTGGTCCTACTTATATCACCACTGTATCATTTGCAAACGTTGCGGATTTTAGATTTTTTCTTTTTCAGTTAACCCATTTTCTGAAACTTACTTATTGTAAAACATATTGTCATTTGATCCATAGTTTTTATTATAAGGTTGGGCTTTTTCTATGTTTCTAGTATTTTTCGTCCTAGTTCACAAAAAAAAAGTTTTACTAAAATCGATGATCCTTGTTCGAGAATTGTAAGTGTATTCTGATGTTGATCACCGGTGAAAATTAGTATTCAATACTGGATAGTTTACACTAAAAAAAAGCCAATTTAGTCGTGAATATTTTACAAAATTATTTTTCAATCTTCTTCATTTGGGGCTCATTAATAAACATTTTTATCAGAATTCTTGCTTGACTATCATGACTATTGATTTAAAAAGTCGCCAGAGGAAACAAATAAAAGCGCATCCATTACTGCTTCGTTCGGAGTGAGAGTGCTTTTATAAAGTATCATCTGCAATATCTCGTTCATCGGGGCTAAGTAATTAAAAACAAAGTTTCACAATTCCACGAAGTTCGTAACTTATGGCCTGCTTGCGGGTGGTCGAATAGGCTTAAAGCAACACTGGTAAAATAGTCTCCGTATACTCCAGGTCGCAGTTTTCCCGTTTTATATACTTTCGGTAATGGCATCACAGATAAAAGGTGAGATTTATACACGAGTGTACTTCTACGATAACTATTATTAAGTTTGTAATGTTTTTAGTGACAGAAAATCAGGCCTGTTTGCGTGCTTGCTGACTGTTTTAAAGCCTCTTGCGTTTTATAAGGTGGAAGAATAACGATTTTCAGTATTTGTTGGTTCATGTCAAACCATATTTGACTTTTATGAAAAGCATATTTAATAAATTTAAACCGTTAAGGTATTCTATCTACAAATATATACACTCAACAACAAAAAAACCGGATCCTAATTATTATTACTATTCATCATTCATTTATACCTATTATTACTATACTTATTTTAGGTAAACTAAATTAAACGAGACCAAAAATACATGAGTTTAAAAAAAATTATTGCGATCGTTTGAGAGAAAATGTGCCAAAACGCTGAAAAATCATTTAGAGATATAATAAATTGTTAGTTAAATTTATTTGATTACTAAATGATTTTCATTCATTCATCTAGGTTTACCGGTCATAATGGACCGTAATTATTTCAATTAATTATTCTTTTTATCTAAGGTCTTGGTTGAGGTAAAAAAGTTAGTGTCACGAGCGGTATTCGAACCCGAAGGTTGTCAATGCGTCGTTGCTCTAGTCTCGTGAATTCACAATAGCTTAAGTGGTTAGAGGAGCGGCGAATTGAGCAGAAGGTCCTGGGTTCGAATCCTGCTCGGGTCACTAACTTTTTCATCTCAACCAAGACCTTTCAACCAAGATAAAAAGAATAATTAATTGAAATGATTAGTCTATTTGTATTCCAGAAATATTCGCTCATATTATAAATTTAATTACAAAACGTTCTTTTCACACGGTCACAGCAGCTCCACCCGGAGGTCGCTTACCGTAAGAAACCAGCTAATGCTGGCACTCAGTGTGAGGGATTGAGGAGCGCGGAGGTTCTCGGGATGGAAATGTGTAGAGAGTGCTCTGCAGTAGGATTAGGAAGAGGTTGGTGTGATGCTTTTGGACTCAGTTAACAAGATCAATGTTGCGGTACATAATGAGGTTAGTGATTTAGTAAGAAGCTTTGGCGATTTGTCTTAGGACTTTTGATTGGAAGGATGCGCTGGATGTTCTATGGCTTGGGACAACCCTACAGTTCCACTCCGTATGTCCAAAGTGGTATGAGTAAAATCTTGTATAAGGTTAGTTTTGTGTGATCAAGACGGATTTCGGTTCGAGAATTCTTCATAATCTTCTCTTAGATAGTTATTGTCTCGTAAGTCTTGTGAGGCATTCCTCGTCAGTCTATGTATGGTCCTAAATATTTGAATGGAAATCGGTATCTCTTTGTTGTTGATGTGCAGTGGAGGGTAAGACTGACGACCTTCGACTAGTGGGTTCGAATCCCCCTCGTGACACTAACTTTTTCCTCTCAACCAAGATTTACATAAAATAATAATTAACTGAAAGGAGTAATTTGGCGAATTAGACCACTAAACATAATTGGATTAATAATTAAAGTTAAAGTCGAGATCCGATGTAGAAACATAAAACTAGTCTACATATGAAAGTAAA